GGTCAACAATTTCCAATGTGTTGTACATACCAGGCATGAAGAGTAATTTGCTCAGTATAGGGCAGCTTGTCGAAAAGAACTACAAAGTAGTTGTCGAAGACAAGATGATGAGAGTTCTCGATGCAGATGGTAGATTAATCTTGAAGGCTCCAATGTCTCAGAATAGGGCCTTCAAGATTGGACTCAATGTGATAGAGCACAGATGTCTAGCAACTGCAGCAAGCAAAGATGAGTGGTTATGGCATTTTCGACTAGGTCATCTCAACTTTAATGACATCAGAGAACTGAAGAGAAGAAATATGGTTTCAGGATTACCAGAAATCGACATTCCAAGTGAAGTCTGTGAGGAGTGTGTTCAGTCGAAACAACACAAGAATAGCTTCAGCAAGGATGCAGGAAGGAAGTCGAAGGCAATACTTGAAGTCATATACTCTGATGTATGTGGTCCAATCCAGGTGGATTCGATTGGTGGCAATAGATACTTTGTCATGTTTATAGATGATTACAGTCGAAAGCTGTGGACTTACCTCATCAAGAAGAAAAGTGATGTGATTGAGGTATTTTCCAGATTCAAGTCCATGGTCGAAAGACAGGGTGGCCGAAAGCTGAAAATTCTGAGGACTGATGGTGGTGGAGAGTACGTGTCGAAAGAGTTCGATACACTATGTGTAAAAGAAGGGATTATGTATGAGGTGGTGCCACCTTACACTCCACAGCAAAATGGGATTGCAGAATGCAAGAATAGAACCATCATGAATATGGTGAGAAGTATGTTAAATGGAAAGCATCTACCTAAAGAATTATGGGGAGAAGCAGTTTCAACAGCAACATATATATTGAACAGATGTCCGACAAAGAAGCTTGAAGGAATCACACCAGAAGAATGTTGGTCTGGTGTCAAGCCTAGCCTCAGTCACTTGAAGGTATTTGGATCTATAGCACATAGACATGTGCCAGATCAGTTGAGAAGGAAGCTTGATGATAAGTCGAATCAGATGATCTTGATAGGATATCATTCGACAGGAGGGTATAAGTTGTTCGACCCAGTGAATAAGCAGGTAGTGATCAGCAGGGACGTGGTCATAGATGAGCTTAAAGAATGGGATTGGACTAAGAATTCCAAGAAGGATTCAGTGAGAATCTCTTGTGAAGAACCAACCACTGAAGTCGAAATAGAAGTTCGACAGGAACCAGTTGCAGATGAAGCAGGTTTAAGCAAACCTCGACGAACAAGACACATGCCTGCAAGGTTGCAAGAATGTGTAATTACATCAGATGATGTAGTCGATGAGGAAGGTGAGCTGGTACATTATGCTTTCTACGCAGATGTCAAACCAGTCAATGCAGCTGAGACATTGAAAGATTCGAAGTGGATGAAAGCAATGATTGAAGAGTTGGAGTCCATCGAAGTCAATGATACATGGTCACTTGTCGAATTGCCGCAAGGCAAGAAGGAAATTGATGTGAAGTGGGTTTACAAGGTGAAGGTAAATCCTAAAGGAGAAGTAACTCAACACAAGGCGAGACTTGTGGCGAAAGGATTTCTTCAGAAGGAAGGAATCGACTTTGATGAAGTATTTGCACCTGTTGCTAGAATCAAAACAATCAGGTTGGTTGTTGGTCTAGCAAATATGAACAACTGGCACACATGTCAGATGGACGTGAAGTGTGCATTCCTTAATGGCCCCTTAGACGAAGAAGTTTATGTTGCACAACCAGCTGGGTTTGTGAAACAAGGCGAAGAAAGAAAGGTGTACAGGCTTCATAAAGCCCTGTATGGACTTAAGCAAGCTCCAAGAGCTTGGAATAAGAAAATCGACAGCTTCTTAAGGGAGAAGGAATTTGTGAAGTGTACAACTGAGCATGGAGTATATGTAAGAAGAAGCAATGGCAAATTGCTTATACTATGTCTCTATGTTGATGATTTGTTGATAACAGGGAGTTGCAAGAAGGAGATCGAAGATTTCAAACATGACCTGAGTGAGGAGTTTGAAATGTCAGACTTGGGAAATCTCTCATATTTCCTTGGCATCGAATTCTACAAGACAAGTAGAGGTTTGATGATGAATCAAAGAAGATATGCAGGCGAAATACTCAAGAGATTTGAGATGCAAGGTTGTAACCAAACTTCGACTCCAGCTGAGCCCAGATTGCAACTGTCGAAGGATTCAGATGAAGATGATGTCGACCCAACCCAATACAGAAAACTTATTGGGTCACTTAGATACCTTTGTCACACAAGGCCTGACTTAGCATACAATGTTGGTATGGTAAGTAGATTCATGTAGAAGCCAAAGGTATTACACCTAGCAGCGGCGAAGAGGATACTGAGGTATCTGAAAGGAACTCTCGACTATGGTATTTTGTTTCCAGCAGCTGATGAAGGAAAATAATGCAAGTTAGTGGGATACACAGACTCCAGTTGGTGTAGTGATGCCGAGGATCGAAAATCCACAGTTGGTTATGTGTTTATGTTAGGTGGTGCACCAGTTGCTTGGAATTCGAGAAAGGAACCAGTAGTGGCATTGTCATCATGCGAAGCAGAATATATAGCTGCTTCTCTTTGTGCATGTCAAGCAACTTGGATGGTGAATTTGGTCGAAGAAATCACAGGGAAGAATCATGGAGCAATTACCATGAAGATAGACAGCATGTCAGCTATTAACTTGGCGAAGAATCCAATAGCTCATGGTCGAAGCAAGCACATCGAAATGAGGTTCCATTATCTTCGAGAGCAGGTAGCAGAAGGGAAGATGAAGTTGGAACACTGCAGAACTGAGAATCAGATTGCAGATAGCATGACGAAGGGAATGCAGGTCGAAGCCTTCAGAAGACTAAGAGTCATGATGAATGTAGACAGTTTAGACACAATGAATTAGGTGGTGTGTTAAATGTAATTAATTGTTTTGATAAGATTTGATATGATTTAGATTATATTTGATTTTGGATATTTTGGGCCTTTTATGTTTTGGGCTTGTGTAAACCTAAAACTATAAATAGGGTGTCTTGCTTTGTATTCAATAACAACAACATAGAACAGATTTCACAGTTGCAGTTTGAGCAAGTGAAAGTTCTATAAGCAATAAGAAATCCCACAGTTGTGGGTAACACATTCTCTCCAAATATTTCTTCTCTCATTCTTCTCTTTCTTGTGTGTTCTTCTTTTCTTTTGTTGTTCTTGATAATTACTTGTTATTACCATTACTATCATATTGTGGGTTTGTTCATCAATCTTGAGATCAAGATTGAAGCGAATTTTTCATAGGGTGTGAGGTGAATTTCCAACAAATTGAACTAGTCGTCTTGATTTCTCGTCGCCACGGTTGTGTTTCCACCATTGAACTTGTCGTCTAGATTTCTCTCCACCATGAATTTGTTCTCCATTCATTGTTAGCCTTCTTCTCGACCACCATTCCTCACTTAATCTTTTCCTTTTACTCCATCATCATTTGATTATAATTGATTTTATGTTGTGATTTTAAGATTTAATTTTAGGGATGAGAAGTTTTGCAATTTTAGATTGTAATTTTCGAATTGCTGGATTTCAATTTTAGTGATAAAAAGCTTATGCAATTTTAGAAATTTTTAGTTTCTGAAATTAAAGATTATTTGATTATAATTAACAACATATTAATACAAAATGCTGGCTGCAACTCTATCATTATGGTTGAAGATTGCAACAAAAATCATGTCATAGAAAACTTAACAACTATGCAACTGATCTTCTTAATCTGTCTTTAGCACATTTGAAAACAAAATGAAGGATATGAGGAGAAAATTAAGATATTTTGAGCTCAAAAAGCACAATTATTTTTAAGAACACAAATTTCATCAAATTATATGGGGATTGATGCCAAATGGTGATGAGGTGGACAGTAAAAAGTTGTCATTAAATTTTTTTCAAGAAATTAGAGAATTTATCAAATAAGAATTCAGCACACACAAAATAACTAAAGATTGAGTGAAAGATATACTATAGAGACAGAGATAAATTGTGTAAGATAGAAGACGATAAATAAAAGAGAGTTGAATAATCAGATTAAAAAAAAAATGAATTAATACTAATTTTTATTTTGCCACGTGTATTACATTCATAAAATAAATTGAAAAATTAAAATTTATAGAAATTGGAGTAGATCTGATTCCTCTTATATATTCAATAAACTTTATTTATAGTTTAAGTTTGATTAATTTATTTTAGAATTAAAATTAAAATCAGTGAACAAATTAATTATTATTTGAATAATGTTAGATATTTCTTTGATCATTGATCAAACTAATATAGATATATATTTAAAATGTGTGCTAAGGGCGCTAGTTTTAGTTAAGATAGGGTCACAATCCTAACCGTTGGTTTGGTGCACCATAAATCATCAATCTCAACTTTCAAAGTGTGAACTTTCTTGGAGTTACTTATTTGGTCATCTTCCCTGAACAGCCATGGCCCTCAACCTTCTCCTTTCTAGTAGCTCTTAGCTTCTTTTAATACTAAATGGAAAGAGAATATGTACTACTAAAGAAAAACAAATTACAAGTGCTTTAAGAGCTTTTTGATTACCTTTAATTAATCCCAGCAAAGAATAACAGGGTTGTTGTTAATTAACAAGAGTTAAAGCAGCTTTTGCTATTAATAGCTCCATAAAGTAAAAGTTAATTTTTGTACCATATAAAGTAGGTATCATACCTTTTGAATCTTGAATTTGATGATTATTATTTAATAGGGTAATGCCATACTTTCTTGCCTGTTTGTTGATTTAAACTAGAGGTTAGTAAAGTTGCTACTAAATATTTAAATTGCAGGAGCCAATTGCTGGATACAAGTTAATAGTACTAATAATAATAATAATAATAATAATAATAATAATAATAATAATAATAATAATAATAATAATAATAATAATAATAATAATAATAATAATAATAATAATAAAAGTAAAATGATAATTAATATTATGATAAAAATATTTGCAAAGAATTTTTTTCGGATAGTTTGAGGATCCATGGATAAAAGGAGTGTTGGCAGACCAAAATCTCGGGTGAAAACACGTCGGAAAGGGGTGGAAAGAACGATCGTTGCACAAGCTATGGTAGAACAAGAGGTACAAGAAGTAATAGCTGATGAGGAAGACCTAATTTGTGAGAATGCACAACCGGAAAAGGAAAGCCCAATTCTGAAAATTGTCTCGCCATCGTTAGAAATTGCGCATGAAAAGGATGAATCACCAACTGGGGGAGTACAAAGCAAACCCTGGGTGGATGTTATATAGGTAAATCACAATTTGAATCGCAAAATAGTTGTGGATTTCGTCGCTCCAACCTTTGTTAATGGTGAAATAGAGATCGCGATTGAAAAATCAGATGTCACGGAGGAGTTGGAATTCTGGAAAAATGCATTGATCTTGTTTGCACTTGGGGATACACTCTCAATGAATGTTGTGAAAAAAATTCATGGAGAACCCTTAGAACTTTGTATTAATGCCAGACCTGTACTACAATGAGGAAGGCTATTTTATTGTGAGGTTCAGAACATGTGAAGATAGGGAGAATGTTATAGCCCAAGGCCCTTACTTCATATATGGAAAACCACTGTTTCTGAGAAAATGGACATCTGGTTTTGAAATGAAGGAGGACCTTTTAAGGGTACTACCTCTATGGATAACAATGCCAAACCTGCCACTACATCTGTGAGGAGAGAAAAACATCTCAAAAATTGCTAGTGCTATCGGAAAACCAATCACAACGGATGAGTGTACGGCGAAAAAAATGTGTATCTCCTATGCACAAGTGTTAGTTGAAGTAGATATAACTCAAAAACCAAAAGACAGTGTGTGCATTAGAGACCACAATGGAAATTGTTGGAGCAAATGATTGAATATGAGTGGAGGATGAAGTTTTGCCAAACTCGCCTCAAGATAGGACACAATTGTGCTATAAAGAAACATAATGGGAAAAAATTGCAACCTAATAAAATTTGGAAACCAGTAGCTAACAGGAATACTGCAACTCAAATTGAAGGAGAAGCAAGCAAAAGTAGTAGTGATAAAGAACCAACAGGTGTAGATAGAGGAATTCCTGAGCCAGATACTAATGATAGGGATACCTGGACAACTGTGACATCAGGAATAGTGGATACAAGAAAATAATTCAAGACTCAAACACCTAAAAGATCTGTCGTTGCGTACCAAAACTCGTTTACTCCCTTAAGGATTGGAGAAGGTCATGTAGGAGAAAACAAATTTGATCAATGGTAGTAACGTGGAACGTTAGCGACATCAATAAAGAGGCAAGGCATCGTGAGGTGATCTCCTACATCTCGAATTTTAATATTTCAATAATTTCTTTGCTTTAAACTAGAGTTAAGAGGCAAAATTCTGAGAAAATTAGAAGGAAAATGGGTAACAATTGGTTGTGTATAGATGATTATGATCATCAACCAAATGAGAGGATATGCATACTATGGAAACAAAAAGATGTTGTAGTTAAAATGGTCCACTCAAATGAATAATATATCCATGTCGAAGTCTATGGACTGGACAATAGGTTACAGTATGTGGTAACCGTGATATATGCTTACAACCAACTTGAGAATAGAATAATTATGTAGAAGGAGATAGAGAGATTGGGCCAGAATATGAATACCCCTTGGATTGTTATAGGGGATTTTAATAATGTTTTAACAAGCCAAGACAAAACTGGTGGCAATGATGCTACACAGGCAGAATTTAGGGATCTAGCTAATATGATGTTGAATGTAGGTCTATATGAAGCTAACACAAGAGGTAGTCATTATACATGGACAAACAAACACATTAGAGGAGTAATATACTCTAGAATTGATCGAGTTATTGGTAATGCTGAGTGGTTTCAGAAGTATCAAGATATAATTGTTGAAAATTTAGCTCTTAACATTTCAGGCCACCATCCTGTGAAGATTGGTAGTAATGTGTGTAAGACCATTTCCAAAAGTATGTTTAATTTTTCAACTATGTGGTTCAGGAACCTTCATTTCTGTAAGTCGTGACTACTAGCTGGCATTAGGAGACACATGGTAAACCTATGCACAGATTATGGCTCAAACTGAAAAGGTTGCAACCTCTTCTTAGACAGATGAATAGAAGGTACTCAAATATTCACCTTCAAATTAACCAGGCCAAAGATGAGTTGCATCAAGCCCAAAATCAACTCCAACAGAACTTGTTTAATGAACATTGCATTGAGCATGTCAAGCACTGTACAGAGAAAATTATGCATCTGAACCAGGTGGAGGAACACATATTGATGCAGAAGGCAAAAGCCAATTGGTTACAACTTGGAGATAATAACAACGTTTTCTTCCATGCCTCAGTGAAGGATAAAAATAAGCAAAAAGGCATATATATATACACTAGTTTCACTTGAAGGTGATTTATTGAGTAGTCAAGCTGAAATTGAACAGGAAATCCTGGGATTTTATCATAATCTGGTGGGAACTAATAGTACTAAATTGAGAGGGATTGACATACCTATGATGCGACAAGGAAAAGGATTAACTAGAGAGCAGGCACAACAATTAATAAAACCTATTGAAGACAAGGAAATCTGGAATGCTCTTTGTAGTATTGAGAACAATAAAGCCCCTGGAATTGACAGTTTCAACGCTTAATTCTTCAAAACAACTTCGTAGATAGTGAGATATGATGTGAAGGCAGTTGTTCTGGAATTTTTCGAAACAAGCAACCTCTATAAAGCGATCAATTATTCCTTAGTGACCTTGATTCCAAAATCTCCTAATGCAAAAACTATAAGAGACATGTGACCTATATCCTGCTGCATTACTATATATAAAATCATGTCTAAAATTCTTACAGCAAGACTTGGAAGGGTGATCAGTAGTTTTGTTGCAGATAATCAGTCTGCGTTTGTTTCCGGAAGAAATATCCAAGACAACATCCTGTTAGCTCAGGAACTAGTGTGTGGCTACAATAGGAAAAATCTTTCCCCTTGATGTATGGTCCATCTTGATATTCAGAGAGCGTATGATACGGTTAAATGGAAATCCTTATCTCAAATTATGGTTGAAATAGGTTTTCCAAATAGATTCACCAATTGGATAATGGCATGTGTATCTACTGTCTCGTATAGATTCTCTCTAAATAGCGCCCCTACAGGTATCTTGAAGGCTAAGAGAGGGTTGAGACAAGGAGACCCTATATCTCCCCTCCTCTTTTTGTTAGTTATGGAATACCTCCACAGGTTGCTTCAAGGGCTGCACTTGAATCATAATTTCAATTTTCACCCTAAGTGTGAAAAACTTAGGATCATTAATATTTGTTTTGTAGATGATATCTTAGTTTTTACTCGTGGAGACGTAGAATCTGTGAAGCTGGCTATAGACAAATTCAAGATTTTTGCTAATACTATTGGGCTGAACATTAGTAATCCAAAAAGCAAACTATATATTGGTGGTGTGGACATGGACACTAAAAGAATTATGCAGCATGTAACATGTTTTGATCTGGGGGACCTTCCTTTTAAATACCTTGGAGTTCCTCTTCATAGCAGGAAGCTTTCAATAGCTAACTGCCAGCCTCTAATAGAAAAAATGCTGAAGAGAATTCAACATTGGAGTACTCGATTATTGTCGTATGATGGCAGATTGCAATTAATTAAAAGTGTGATGTTTGCAATATCTAATTATTGGATGCAAATATTTTTGTTACCTAAGAAGATAATAAGATATATTAAAGGGTCATATAGACGATTCCTCTGGACAGGAAAAGAAGGTGATAGTAAAAAAGTCCCTATTTCTTGGGACCATGTTTGTGATTCTGTGGCAGCAGGTGGAAGAAACATGATCTATCTGAAACAACTCCTATTTCTTGAGTGGAATAAGGCTACCATTGGAAAACTACTTTGGAATATCTGGGAAAAAAAGATAAACTTTGGATTAAATTACTGCATGCTTACTATCTGAAATAGGGGAACCTAAGAAGTTATCAACCAGCAAACCACGACTCATGGATATTGAAGTCCATTTTCAAGAATCAAGATGTTAGTCAACTCCGAGACATGGAAATATTTTCAAGAAACTAGGAGATATAGCACCATGTCGCTGCTCGGAAAAAAAAGCAACGACAGAGAGGAGAGAATGAAAGACAGAAGAGTCACCATTGAACTTTATTTATCCTATGAGGGGAAAGGAAAATATCTAGAAAAACTTAAGAAAGAAACAGATAATATGGTCTCGCGACCAAAGAATGGGTTCGGAAGCCGGTTATGCAAAGGGAAGGTATTAGCACCCCTCACATCAATCGTACTCGATGGGAACCATTTTTTTTGTCTATGTGTGAAGGTATTTGCTTAAAGATATTGCTTTAAAGAGTGTTCCAAGAGAGGTTAGAAACAGGGTAAAGAGGGATAAGGGGGAAGAAAGGACTCGATAGGACTTCACGGTCCTATGCCTACGTATTCTCAACAGATATGAGAAAGTCAGAGTCGATGTAGTTTGGAGGACTATGGATAAAAGAGGGAAATGTGTGCGGCAAGGATTGGGGCCCTCGTGCCTACGTATCTTCACTTAAAAGAAGTAAAGAATCAGAGCAGCCGTAGTTCGGCCAACTACGGGTAAAGGAAAAAAGGGGTGCTTGCCAAGATATCACCGTCTTGTGCCTACGTATTCTCATCTGGTATGAGAAATCAGAGCAATGTAGTTCGTGATACAGTTAACCAGTGTTTTTGTGGATGATGTTAACGTAGCGCATTATAGCAGTTTAGGTATATTGTTGCTTGCTCATTGGAGACTTAGGTACCTGTTTGCGGTAGAACGAACATAACATATCCTTTTTGAAAAAGATTAATTTTCGCCTATCGAGGCAAGATGTCACATTTGATTTGTGGAAGTTGTTTTTAGGGGCGAAATAGGTCCTTAGATAGTAACCCCTTGCGGGTGGTACCCAGTTCTTTATCTCAAAGTTTTTGATATGAAAAGGTGTGGCGAATAAAATCATGTCTTCATATTGAAAGACGAGTATCGAGAACACACACTATACAGTGAGTATCCTGACACTCGGAGAGGAAGAAGTCTACACTTAATCCTCTCTCTTTAATTCAATACAAAGAAAAATTCATTCTCTTATTAAAAGGTGTTTTTGATTTTGAATGGTAAGTGCTTTGCGATAGTGAACCCTAAAGGTAATGTCAAGCACTTGGGATAGGAGAAGGCCTACGCCTAACCACTCCACGACCATTCGAGTTTTATTGCGAAAAGAGTTTGAAAATGCGCTTGGCG